AAAAATCATTTCCACATAATTTGTAGGTTGTGTGTGGTCTATTTTCCATTCCACATTCCATAACATGGCATTTATTCACATTGAATTCCACTTGCTACATGGTGCACCAAGGACTTGTTTTATCTAGGACAATTTGAAGGATGTGAGAGAAAGGTATTCCCTCAGCTAGACTTGTAACCCATGGTTGCAGTGCTGTGCAGTGTAAAGTTGTGTACACTATTGAGCATTGGTAATCACTTATAAGGACAGGAGTACCTTGTGTAAGGTGTCTGTATGTTTAGCTCCTTGCATTTCTGTAAATGCTCTCTCCCTGCTAACAGGAGTCAGATATCACCACTGATTAAATTAGCATTCAGGATTTGACATTGACCCCATCCAAAATAGGATATTTTGTTGACAAATTTGAATAGTATAGGACATATCTGGATATACTTGGTGGGTAGGCTTGGTCCATTTATAGATCCATTATATGGAGGCTTCGATTTTGGAGGGTATAGTGTATTATAATACAGTGTAATGTGATTGCTGTATTAGTAATAGTGTTCTTGGCAGACTTGCCAAGAAGCATGATCATCATCGAATATGCTTGAAAATATCAATACAGTAGCTATATTATTTGGTGTACAGTATAGAAATAATATATGTATCTAAATGAAAGTTTTTTAGATAATACTTCACTGAAGACAAGTTAGATTACTTTGTAAATGTGTGTGTGTTAATCATTGTACTATGTAGGACTTACCTCTGATACTTGATTCTGTGGAAGCATAGATGCAGCTTCTTAATAATAATAATAATAATAATAATAATAATAATAATAATAATAATTTATTTAGGAAAGTACATACATAGTTGCAGAGTTACAGTACAAACATTCTGTTTAATTTAAAGATACAGGTAGTACATGCAATACCTAAAGCCACTAGTGCGCATAGCGTTTCGGGCAAGGTGAGGTGGGGGGGGGGGAACCACTTAGACTAAAACTTAATAGTAATTGAGCTTAACCCTTTAAGTGTGCAACACATCATATGATGTGTTCAGTGACTTGCAGTAACTTGCGCTCCACATCATATGATGTATTAGAGTACTACGCAAGATTTAAACGGCCAGTGGATACACAGGGTTCACCACACCTTCATCAGGGCTCTTGTAAACAGACACTATTTAAAAAAAAAATCGTGGGCCAAATTCCCAGGTGTGAGGGGCCTCAGTATTGAGTGAGCTACCAAGCCTGACTCACGCAGCATGGGCTCACCGCACTGCTGTTCAGCTTGTGACCACAGCATCGCCTAAAAATGCCTTAATATACATGTTCATGCTATTATTTGGCGATATTATTACAGAAGACCCCCTGACTGTGATAAAAATGACCAGGATTCTGATAATAGCAGGATTGTTGTGATAATTAGCGCTGCAGTGGGAGGAGTAATCTTGGTGGGGAGGGGGGTAGCATTGTCTGCTGACTCTGTGTAACCACCTTTTACTGTCTGGACTCACTATACCAGCTTAGTTGTTCACTATGGTAAACAAAACATGCAGATACTTATATATAACGTCTGTATATAAAAGCAAAAATAGTATGGCTGGAGGAGAATGGTGGCGAGTCAGGTGAGGTGAGGGAGGGAGGGAGCCAGTGGCAGCCAGTGGCAGGCTGCCACTGGCTGCCACTGCCACTCTCACTCAGCATACCAACTTAGTGGCTCGTTATGGTGAACACGAATGTAGATACTTATATATATAACGTGTATATACAGTGTAATAACAGCAAAAGGAGTGTGGGGGAGAAGCCATTTTGGTGATGGGTGTGGCAACATCTGCATGATTTGTCATGTTGGTCAGGGTGGCCACTATGCTCTTTGGGCATTGTACCAGCTTAGTTGAACAGTTATGGTGAACAAAACATGTAGATACTTATATATAACGTCTGTATATAGGGTAATAACACCACAAACAGTATTGTTGGGGGTGAAATTTTAGTGCGTCTGACGTTGAATGTGTGAGGGAAGCAGCCGCCACCTGACTGTGTGTAGCGACGTCTCTTATTGCCTGAACTAACTATATCAACTTAGTTGTACAGTTGTGGTGAACAAAACATGTAGATACTTATATATAACGTCTGTATATAGTAAATAAAAGCAAAAACAGTATTGTGGGAGGAGAATGTGGGTGAGTCAGGTGAGTTGAGGGAGGGAGGAAGTAGCAGCCAGTGACGGGCTGCCACTGGCTGCCACTGCCACTCAGCATGCTAACTTAGTGATTCGTTATGGTGAACACGAATGTAGATACTTATATATAACATCTGTATAAAAGTGAATAAAAGCAAAAACAGTATGGTGGGAGGAGAATGTGGGCGAGTGAGGTGTTGAGGGAGTGAGTGGCAGCGAGTGGCTGGCTGGTGTGTGGCGGTCACTCCTCATTGCTTTTTGACTCATAATAGCAACTTAGTGGTTCATTATGGTGAACAAAACATGCAGATACTTATATATAACCTGTGTATATAGTGTAATAACCGACAAAGTATTTGTTCACTGCTTGATGAACATAATAATTGAATCAACAATATGCACACCATATTTTTGAGTACAGTGATGATTCACTCATTTTATTATATAAATATATCACACTACACACTATTGAATAATATTACAGCAAAAAAAAACTACGAAAAAACAATCAGAGACATTGAAATAATTAGGTAAATATCTCTTTGTGACCATTCCTGCCAGACAGCTGGTGAGCAACAGACTGTCTGGGACTCATGCTGAGTCAGCGCCTGGTTTTTGCCAGACTTCCTCCCACCCCCCACGCTACGGAAAAAATGAAAATATAAAAACGGAAACCACGTACAAAACTCAGGCAAATCATAACATAGAATGAAAAAGGCAATGTAAAGGATCTGGGTGTACTCATGTCGGAAGACCTTACCTTTAAAGAACACAATAAAGTAGCCGTCACAACTGCAAGAAAAATGACAGGTTGGATGACAAGAACTTTTCACACTAGAGATGCTGTACCGAGGATGATACTTTTCAAAACGCTTGTGCTCTCTTAGAGTGGAGTACTGCTGCACAATGACAGCCCCTTTCAAAGCTGGAGAAATTGCTGACCTGGAGAGCGTGCAAAGCTCCTTTACTCCTAGAATCCACTCAGTAAAACATCTAAACTACTGGGACCGACTAAAGAGCCTAAATCTGTATTCCCTTGAGCGCAGGCGGGAGAGATACATAATAATCTATACGTGGAAAATAATTGAGGGGCTGGTCCCAAACCTGCACATAGAAATAATATCACATGAGACCAGAAGACATGGCAGGATGTGCAGAATACCCCCGTTGGGAGCCGGTCGGCTGAGCGGATAGCACGCTGGACTTGTAATCCTGTGGTCCCGGGTTCGATCCCGGGCGCCGGCGAGAAACAATGGGCAGAGTTTCTTTCACCCTATTCCCCTGTTACCTAGCTGTAAAATAGGTACCTGGGTGTTAGTCAGCTGTCACGGGCTGCTTCCTGGGGGTGGAGGCCTGGTCGAGGACCGGGCTGCGGGGACTCTAAAAAGCCCCGAAATCATCTCAAGATAACCCGTTGAAAAGAAGAGGTTCAACAGGTACTCTGAGAGAGAACTCAATCAACATCAGAGGCCCAAGACTGTTCAACACGCTTCCACTACACATAAGGCGCATAACTGGCAGACCCCTCACAGTGTTGAAGAGAGAACTTGACAAACACCTCCAAAGGATACTTGATCAACCAGGCTGTGACTCATACATCAGGCTGCGAGCAGCCACGTCCAACAGCCTGGTTGATCAGTCCAGCAACCAGGAGGCCTGGTCGACGACCGGGCTGCGGGGAGGCTAAGCCCCAGAAGCACCTCAAGGTAACCTCAAGGTAACCCTATAGCGGGCAATATATGCCACTTACGATTTTTTTATTATTTTTCCCATGATCAGAGAACACAAATTAACAGGTTTAGAAGAAAAAATATATATATATTTTTTTTTAGTATGCGCCTGTGGGTGACAAATGCTAAATAGCCCGGAGCCACACAAGGGTTAAAGTATAAATTGCATTGAAAGAAAAAAAAATACAAAAGATAAAAAAAGGAGGGAACATGGTAGAAAATAGCCAATATACAAGTTGGTCAACAAACAACATTTTTTTTTTTTTAACAGTAAGACATGGGTTGACTTTTAGAAGTAAGGTAGGTTACATGGAGTTAATTAGGTAGTACTTAGTTTTCATCTTAAACTGGTTGAGAGAGGTACAATTTTTGACATGATTGGGAAGGTCATTCCACATTCTGGTTCCCTTGATTTGTAGAGCATTCCTAGTTTAATTAAGTCTTACTCTTGGAATATCAAATAGGTATTTGTGTCTGGTGTGGTGCCCATGAGTTCTGTTACAACCTTCTAGGAAGCGTTGAAAGTCAGGATTGACATTACAATTCAGAGTTTTAAATATATAGAGTACACAAGAGAGAATGTGCAGTGACTGAATATCTAACATATTCAGAGATTTGAGTAAGGGTACCGAGTGCTGTCTGGGGCCAGAGTTAGATATTGTTCTAATAGCAGCTTTGCGTTGGGTAATTAGAGGACATAAATTAATCTGTTGCAATGTGTCTTTACAGTCTCCGTGGTGTAGTGGTAAGACACTCGCCTGGTGTTCCACGAGCGCTATGTCATGGGTTCGTATCCTGGCCGGGGAGGATTTACTGGGCGCAATTCCTTAACTGTAGCCTCTGTTTAACGCAACAGTAAAATGTGTACTTGGATGAAAAAATGATTCTTCGCGGCAGGGGATTGTATTCTAGGGACCTGCCCGAAACGCTACGCGAACTAGTGGCTGTAAAAGAATGTAACAACTCTTGTATATATCTCAAAAAAAAAAAAAAAATGTGCAATTGTCCTCTATTATTTTCACAAGGCTTACAAATTTTGGGCCACATATCTAGCAAAGCAACAAATGTTTTTAATATACTGATTGGTTCTGTATTTTCCTTACAGGTGGTCAGCCACAGATGATAAAGGGTGACCATCTTCCCATTCAGCTAACTGAAGTTAGTGCTGGTTGCTCTGGGGGCAATGTAAAGGCCACCTTTGGCAAGACCTCTGGTAAACAGGTAATGTACACGCAAGTTATTGATTCTTTTATGCCTTGTGCAGAATTTTGCTCTCTTGCCGGCTATTTTTTTATATGTACAAGATGCTTAATGTTCAAATGCACACTTAACACTTTCGCAGGTATATGTCGCTTGAGCGCAACATATTTTTTTCTCTTGAATGCACCCAAATGCCGCGCTATCATATTTGAACAAATATTTCTATAAAATCCAATTCTTATCCGATCGATTTGGGGATAGTATTAACATGTTTGCCATGAAATTTCCGTTTTCTCTAATATCCACATAGCCTATTTGGGAGAACGGCATTGTATTGTATATTTGTGGTAAGACCATTGTATTGTTGACACGACGATTGTAATCGACGTAGTTTTTTATTTGGTGTCTGTCTAACACATCCTTGTGTGACATTTTATACATATGTTCTTCTAGAACATTTTATTGCGAACACATTGGTACAAAAATGAAATACGTACATCAAGAATTAAGGTCAGGACAGTGAAAAGAATATACACTTTTCAATAGGGGTTTCGCAGATGTGCCGTCGGGTGTACGGTAACGGGTAACACTTCTGCCACTTCCCACACTCTTGCGGGTTGGCCGTGATCATGATTCTACATTTATATGCATATGTCCGTGTAGGGAATTTTATTGCGATCTCAGTGATACCAAATTTACCGCTGTAGGACAAGTGTGGAGTTGACAACCCTGAAAAGAATAGAAACATTTCGTCGCTGTTTTTGCGCTCACGGCTAGTGATTGACGTAGTTCTTTATTTGGTGCTGGTCTAACTCATGCTTTGGTGACATTTTATACTTGTGTTCTTCTAGAACATTATATTGCGAACACATTGGTACAAAAATGAAATACGTACATCGAAAATTAAGGTCAGGACAGTGAAAAGAGTATACACTTTTCAGTGTTGCCGCTCAATCACCCAAAACGCCGCACACACTAGGGGCAAGTTTTTTTTTGTTTGCAGAGAGCGCAAAAGTGCTGAAGCTTACTTGTGATGTAATTTTTGCCAACAGCTTGAGAAGTAGAACTCCCAGAACCCCATCAACCAGGTATCAACCAGTTATTTGTCAAAGAAAGGATCACTACTAGATGAAGTGTGGTGATGGTGTGGGGGGGGGCACAGTGTGGGTGTGTGGGGAAGGGGTACAGTGTGAGGTGTGGGGGTCACGGTGTGGTGGTGTGGTGGGGGGCACAGTTTGGTTATGGTGTGGGGGCACAGTGTGGTGGTGGTGTGGGGGACACAGTGGTGGTTGTGTGGGGGGCACGGTGTGGGGGGACACAGTGGTGGTGGTGGTGTGGAGGACACAGTGGTGGTTGTGTGGGGGGCACGGTGTGGTAATGGTGTGGGGGGCACAGTGGTGGTGGTGTGGGGGCACCGTGTGGTGGTGTAGGGGGGCACAATGTGGTGGTGTGGTGGGGGCATAGTGTGGTGGTGTGAGGGGGTGCAGAGTGGTGGTGTGGGGAGCATAGTGTGGTGGGGGCACAGTGGTGGTGGTGGTGTGGGGGCACAGTGGTGGTGGTGGTGTTGGGGACACAGTGGTGGTGGTGGTGTAGGGGGCACAGTGGTGGTGGTGGTGTTGGGGGCACAGTGGTGGTGGTGGTGTTGGGGGCACAGTGGGGGTGGTGGTGGTGTTGGGGCACAGTGTGGTGGTCGTATTGGGGGCACAGTGGTGGTGGTATTGGGGGCACAGTGGTGGTGGTAGTGATGTTGGGGAGGGGGCACAGTGTGGTGGTGGTGTTGGGGGCACAGTGGTGGTGGTGGTGATGGTGTTGGGGGCACAGTGGTGGTGGTGGTGGTATTGCAGGCACAGTGGTAGTGGTGTTGGGGGCACAGTGATGGTGGTGGTGTTGGGGACACAGTGTACTCACCTAATCGTGCTTGTGGGGGTTGAGCTCTGGCTCTTTGGTCCCGCCTCTCAACCGTCAATCAACATGTGTACAGGTTCCTGAGCCTATTGGGCTCTATCATATCTACACTTGAAACTGTGTATGGAGTCAGCCTCCACCACATCACTTCCTAATGCATTCCATTTGTCAACCACTCTGACACTAAAAAAGTTCTTTCTAATATCTCTGTGGCTCATTTGGGCACTCAGTTTCCACCTGTGTCCCCTAGTGCATTTCCCCCTTGTGTTATTTAAATAGCCTGTCTTTATCTACCCTATCAATTCCTTTGAGAATCTTGAATGTGGTGATCATGTCCCCAATAACTCTTCTGTCTTCCAGCGAAGTGAGGTTTAATTCCCGTAGCCTCTCCTCGTAGCTCATACCTCTCAGCTCAGGTACTAGTCTGGTGGCAAACCTTTGAACCTTTTCCAGTTTTGTCTTGTCCTTGACTAGATATGGACTCCATGCTTGGGCTGCATACTCCAGGATTGGCCTGACATATGTGGTATACAAAGTTCTGAATAATTTCTTACACAAGTTTCTGAATGCCGTTCTTATGTTGGCCAGCCTGGCATATGCCGCTGATGTTATCCTCTTGATATGGGCTGCAGGGGGACAGGTTTGGCATGATGTCAACCCCCAAGTCTTTTTCTCTCTCTGACTCATGAAGAATGGTAGGCCAGATACTAGGTATCATCTCCCAGATGATACCTAGTATCTGGCCTCCTGCTCCCTATGCCTATCTTCATTACATTACATTTGCTTGCATTTGCATTACTCTAGCAACCATATGTCCGACCATTCCTTCAGCTTGCCTAGGTCTTCTTGAAGCCTCAAGCTGTCTTCCTCTGTCTTAATCCTTCTCATAATTTTGGCATCGTCAGCAAACATTGAGAGAAATGAATCTATACCCTCCCGGAGATCATTTACTTATATCAGAAACAAGATAGGACTGAGTACCGAGCCCTGTGGGACTCCACTGGTGACTTCACGCCAATCCGAGGTCTCACCCCTCACCGTAACTCTCTGCTTTCTATTGCTTAGGTACTCCCTTATCCACTGGAGCACCTTACCAGCTACACCTGCCTGTCTCTCCAGCTTATGTACCAGCCTCTTATGCGGTACTGTGTCAAAGACTTTCCGACAATCCAAGAAAATGCAGTCCGCCCAGCCTTCTCTTTCTTGCTTAAATCTTTGTCACCTGGTCGTTGAATTCTATTAAGCTAGTCAAGCAAGATTTACCCTCCCTGAATCCATGTTGTCGATTTGTCACAAAGTCCCTTCTCTCCAGATGTGTTACTAGGTTTTGTCTCACGATCTTCTCCATCACCGGCCATTTGGAGCCGGTCGGCCGAGCGGACAGCACGCTGGACTTGTGATCCTGTGGTCCTGGGTTCAATCCCAGGCGCCGGCGAGAAACAATGGGCAGAGTTTCTTTCGCCCTATGCCCCTGTTACCTAGCAGTAAATAGGTACCTGGGTGTTAGTCAGCTGTCACGGGCTGCTTCCTGGGGGTGGAGGCCTGGTCGAGGACCGGGCCGCGGGGACACTAAAAAGCCCCAAAATTATCTCAAGATAACCTCAAGAAGAAGATCACCTTGCATGGTATACAAGTCAAGGACACTGGCCTGTAGTTCAGTGCCTCTTGCCTGTCGCCCTTTTTGTATACAGTATTGGGACCACGTTCGCCGTCTTCCATATTTCTGTTAGGTCTCCCGTCTCCAGTGACCTACTATACACTATGGAGAGTGGCAAGCAAAGTGCCTCTGCACACTCTTTCAGTACCCTTGGTGAGATCCCATCTGGACCAACAGCCTTTCTAACATCCAGATCCAGCAGGTGTCTCTTGACCTCCTCACTCGTAATTTCAAACCCTTCCAAGGCCGCTTGGTTTAATTCCCTTTCTCCTAGCACAGTGACCTCACCTTGTTCTATTGTGAAGACCTCCTGGAGCCTTTTGTTGAGTTCTTCACACACCTCTTTGTCATTCTCTGTATACCTGTCTTCGCCTGTTCTAAGTTTCATTACCTGTTCTTTCACTATTGTTTTCCTCCTGATGTGACTATGGAGCAGCTTTGGATCGGTCTTGGCTTTGTTTGCTATATCATTTTCATAATTTTTCTCTGCTTCTCTTCTCACCCTGACATACTCATTCCTGGTTCTCTGGTATCTCTCTGTGCTTTCTGGTGTTCTGTTATTCCGGAAGTTCCTCCACGCCCTTTTGTTCAGTCCCTTTGCTTCCATACATGCCCTATTATACCATGGATTCTTCTTTTGCTTCTCGGATTTTTCCCTTTGGGACGGGATGAACCTGTTTATTGCCTCCTGACACTTTTGGGTGACATAGTCCATTAGCTCTGAGGTCTGTGTCCCTTAGGAAACGTCTCATCTCCTCATATTTCCCCTTTTGGTAAGCCAGCCTTTTATTTCCTAGTTCTTTTTTGGGGGAGATAATTCCTAGCTCTACCAGGTACTCAGAGTTTAATATACTGTGGTCACTCATTCCCAAGACTGCTTCCATCTTAACTTCCCTTATATCATACTCATTTAGGGTAAATATCAGATCGAGCATGGCTGGTTCATCTTCTCTCATTCTTGTTGGTTCCTTTATGTGCTGGCTTAGAAAGTGTCTTGTTGCCACGTCCAGCAGCTTAGCTCTCCATGTTTCTGGTCCTACATGCGGATCTCTGTTCTCCCAGTCTGTTTTCCCGTGGTTGAAGTCTCCCATGATTAGTAGTCCAGATCCATTCCTGCTAGCAACAGAAGCTGCTCTCTCTATTATGTTAATGGTGGCCATGTTGTTTCTATCATATTCCTGTCATTTCTGTCATTTGGTGGTGGATTATATATGACTACGACTATAATTTTTTGTCCTCCAGTTGTTATGGTACTTGCTATGTAGTCACTGAAACCCTCACAGCCCTGAATAACCATCCCCTCAAAGTCCCAGTCATTTCTTACCAGCAGAGCTACACCACCACCGCCTCTTCCTTCTCTCTTTCCTCATAACATAATATTCCTGTGGGAACACTGCATTTCTTATGGGTTTTGTTAGCTTTGTTTCTGGGAGTGCTATTATGTCAGGGTTTTCCTCTA